AATACTAATGTGCCTAATGCTACATTCAAGTAAGAAACAGCACGATAAGAAACAATAGACGAATGAATAACATATAAAGGAAGAAAGGCTTTCATGGTTTCATTCAGACATTGCAAAGCTTACACTGCCATGGCTGACTATCTCACCAACAAAAACAACAAAAAAACCGATCAAAATTCTCCACCAAACTCTCTCTCTCTCTCATGAGAACTCCCTACCAAGCTTCTGGATTGCACAGAACATCTTCCTCCTCGACCCAACAGCATTTATCCCCATATCTTTCAAATCTTCCAATGTCAACAATGGCAAAACCTCTTCATCAACCTCATGTATCTCAAACATTGGCCAATATCTCCCTAACCCTAACTCTTGCAACCATATCTTAACCCCTTCTCTCCCTCCTCCACCACCAACTCCGTCCATATTCGACGGTTCTGATAACTCCAAATCTCTGTTTCCACTGCTATTGTTGCTTTCGTATCTTCTTCTACCGTAAAACCCACCACCGTCTCTAACCAAAGACTCTTCTTTCATTGGACTCTCTGAGTCTTCTCTACTGAAATCCCTATCCAATTCTTCCCCTCCGCTAATTTTCTCATCCCCATGCTCCATTTCCCCAATTTTCGATACCCAATTCGATCGGACTCGCTTCGCTGCTGTTGCTGTAATCGCACCGGTCGATGACCCGACCCGTTTCTTGACCCGCCAACTCCCAACCCCAAAAGAATCTACATTCCCTTCTCTATCATCATCTAGGGTTCCGCTATTCTCATACCCAGAACTCAAATTCGTTAGGGTTCGAGTCCTCGACGATTTACTCAAATCTTTTCTATTATTACCCGTCGGTGCCCATTTCGGTTTCCGCCCCTGCGAATCGTACGCCGAGTGGTGATGGTGCTGGTACTGGTCTCCGCCGATTTCGCCTAATCGAACGCTTGGTCTCCTTAGTCGCTTCGATCCGGCGGCGGTAATCGCTTGAGCTTCGGCTGAGGTTGAAGCCGGCGGTGGAAAAACGCCGCCGTTTAGTTGCTGATTATTATCACCTGGTTGCAATTCCGCCATTTTCTAGAGAGATTTGAGAGATTTTTCTTCAAGGAAAGTAGTTTCTTGTATTGGTTTATCAGAATACATGCGAGTTTGTGATTGTGAAGCTACTGGACAGAATGAAAGGGCAAGTCTTTAGGTTTTATGGGGAGGAATCAGAAGTGGATGTGTATGAGAGAGAGAGAATGGTCATC